CAGACAAGGAAAAATGTAAATAAATAGAAATGTCTGATCCAATAGCACTCACAAATAGCAAAGTAAACATATTTTTCATAGTTGTATTATAATACAACAATTTTACTTGTAAAGCAAAAACAACACTTTTAAAACTGTTCTAAAAAAATAGTATAAAAGAGCAAATATGACAAATAGCACGACTTGTGAACTCCCTAAATATTATTATGATTATGATTACTACTACTATTGTGAACCCCTGTTATATGCCCAAACCAACATTCCCAAATTAAAACGAATTCAGAAGGGCATTTACGATCGCATTATGCAAGTGTTAAGATAATTATAATAAGAGCTGCAGATCAGAACCACTCAGGAAAATTGTTTACGTAATTTCTGACGTATTCCAATAACATCGATATCATCGGTAACAAAAACCACGAAGTCTGTCCTGCCTTTTCCAAGTTGGATAACGAAGCAAAGCGATTGGGTTTGGTTAATGTCAGCATGGAAATAAAATGCAGAATCACTCTAGCCAACAAGTGCAACTTTGTACTGAATAGGCAATTCGGGAGTAAAGTCCTCTCTCGACGTACAAAAACCACACTCTATAAGTCACTCATCATGTCCGAGCTGGTATATGGCGCAGAAGTTTAGACAATCACAACATTCGATGAGACGGCTCTTGGAGTATTGGATAGAAAGATCTTATGGAAGATTTACAAGCCTCTGCGCGTTGGCGACGGAAGTACCGCAGACGATGGAACGATGAGTTGTATGAGCTTTACAACGAAATGGACATGGTGTGGCGAATGAAAATACAGCGGCTCCGCTGGCTTGGCCACGTCGTTTGAATGGGAAGCGACGTTCCAGTTCTGAAAGTATTCAACTCGCAATCCGCTGGTGGTAGCAGAGGAAGAGGGAGAGACCACGTGGAGAAGGACTTGGCCTCACGTGGCATTTCCAATTGTCGTCAGTTGGCACAGATTGAAACGACTGGCTTCTTTGGCGATCTCGGCCAAAATGGCTTAGGCGGTTACAGCACCAAATTAGAGGAAAAATATGCCGTTCCCACGACAGTCGGGTCTACGTAACCGGAATGACCCAGATAGATATATATCTGGCCAAGGACTGCCACCACTCCAGCAACACTCCCCAAAATCTCTTTGGGGAATTTGTATGCTGTTACAACAACAACAATCGATATATATATAAATATATATATAAAATACTTGCACGAAATAGGTAATAGTTGATAAATATAATACTTGCATGAAAAATTGTAACCTGTGTAAGTTAATAAAATTAATTCAAATATGAAAAGTTATAAGTACACTTATGATTTGATAAATTTTCTTAATACATGCATGATTAAAATTATAACTTATTATATGGGTTCATAAAATTAATACTTGTATGAAGATGTATATAAGTTATATGGTNAAAATATCCAAATGTTAATTGACAGAGTTGGGGGACCTTCTTCTTGATACGCCAGGAAGAGCTAGCAAAACATTCCTTATCAGATTGATTATGGCAACGGTTGGTTCAAAGAATTACATAATTTTAGCTATCGCTTCGCCTGGAATTGCTACCATGGGGAAACATTGCTAAGTCAGCTCTTAAACTGCCATTGAACATATAAATCATCGAAACTCCCACTTGCAATATTTCCAGAACATCCGGTAAGGAAAAAGTAATACAAAAATGTAAACTTATTGTTTGGGATGAGTGCACGATGGCACATAAAAAATTGCTTGAGGTTCTTGATCGATTGCATGGAAACGTTCAACCATTCGGGAATGCATTGATACTGCTCTCAGGAGATTTTACGCAAACATTGTCTGTAATTTCTTGATTAACACTAGCGGGCAATATAAATGCTTGCCTGAAATAGTAAACATTGTGGCAAAGCGAACATACATACACTGCAGCCGAGGTATTCTCGTGACAAATACTGGATATTGGGAACGGAAAGTTGCCAGTCAATGAGAGATTAAGACGAATTTTATTGCCTGATAATTTTGTAACTTAGAAACATCGAAAGGAGAAATTATCGAAAGAATGTTTCTTAATTTTTGAACTCGATATATCTTCCAGGGATGACGGCACATACTGAAATTGAAAATATGTGTGTCTATTATCATGTTGCGGAATATTAATCAGCCAAAACTCTGCAACTGCACGCGACTAACAGTAACGACATTGATGAAGAACGTGGTGTAAGCAGAGATTTTAACGTGGCCTTTCAAAGGTGAAGAATTCCCATGATTCCGACCGATACGCAATTTCAATTTAAAAGATTGCAATGCCCAATTCGATTGGCATTCGGAATCGCAATCAATAATGCCCAAGGTCAGCTTTTGGAAAAGTGTGGTTTAGATTTAGATGCGGATTGCTTCTCAGATGTTGCATGTTCCCGTGTCGGCAAACCAGATATCCTTGATATCTATGCAGACAATGGCAAAACGACAAATATTGTGTGCACACAAGTACTTATTACAAAATCAAGCTTATATGAAACGTATGCTTTGTTTCGTTAATCATGTATCATCCATGTAACAGGAATATGCCACAGCAAAGCGTGGCAGGGTACAGCTAGTATTTTCATAAAAGGGTCATCAACATTTTTTAAACATAGATAAGTAGCCAAAACTTGCTAAAACGTATATATTGTGTGTATATATTTTTGAGAACACTATTCAAGTTTTTTTCTCTTTGTTTTGTCTCAAATAAAATTGTATTAAAAGATGTTGTGTCTTTTTTCTAAAAACAAAATTGTATGTTCGGATTCGATGCTTTAGAAGTGTCCCGATTTTGGTCCACAGAAATCTGGTCACCTTACGTATAGTGCTGCCACTTTATTTATATTTCGCAATAATTCAGTTTTCCTTACATGGCGTCTGCAACGTTGAGTACTTTTCGGTTTTGTCATTAAGAATTTTATACACACTTCAATTTTATATATAACTTACCGATATAAAAGAAAATCTCAAATATATATTAATGGGTGCATTCCAAAACGTCAAAATACAAAGCGCCAGGTCTTTTATTTCTAAACCGCACTAGAAGAAAACGTCTAACTTGGGACACCTAGTTGAAAACTAGAATCAAACCTTGGTTGCACATATTTGGCATTATAATCTACTGAGATTTAGAAATAAAAGAGACTGATGCTTTGTATTTGGCGTTTTGGAATGCACCCAATATGTATGTATGTATATTAGTTTTTATAAATGTTTATATGTATTTATATGAAATTTTCTTTTCAATCAGCAAGATGCATATGAGGTCGAAACCCGAAGTCGATAATATAACCAAAAGCTAGAGCATCCCTTTTAGGACACCCTGCATAGTACCCAACCGATAGACCGAAAAAAAGTACAATACTATATATTATAGTATGGTTGGCAACTCTAATGAGAACAAGAATTCAAATACAGCTGTCCACATAGCCAAAATTTGGCAACGCTAACGCCAACACAAAGCAAGGATATGAAATATAAATTTATCTATCGTTAGTATGTTAATTTAGTGACCAAAGCATTCGCTGTAAAGCGTGCAGTATAGCAAGCACTAGCATTACCCGCGTTGCTGTTAAAACGGGGCGAAAGCGAACGCAACGCGAAAGGACCTGAAGTTTTGGATTCAATTCCAAGTATTTACCAAATTATTTAAATAGCCCAATTGGAAAACTTGAAACATTTTAAAAGAAGTTACATACAGTGTTACCGTTGTGCGACTTAAGTGTCAAATTGACATTGTTTTCATTGCAAGCACTAGCATTACCCGCGTTGCTGTCAAAACGAGGCGAAAGCGAAAGCAACGCGAAAGGACCTGAAGTTTTGGATTCAGTTCCAAGTAGACTTGAAATATTTTAAAAGAAGTTACATACATTGTTACCGTTGTGCGACTTAAGTGTCAAATTGACACTTTTTGGAGATCGATGCCCTCTGGCACCGACTTTTTAAAAATAGGCTTATTTTGAAACTTTCCTAAAAATCGTGCGACTTTTGCTCATTTTCTTTGATTCAAAATTCTATATATAAATTTTGGCAATTCCTTCATAAATTATATTTTTCTTACGTGTGTAATAACGCTTTTAGTATTTACTTTTCAAAGGCACACCTCTGGCAACATTTTGACTGATTTCAAATTTTTTTGTCAAACATTTTCCGAATAAATGTCCAGAAGTAGCATGAATTAATGCACCATTTTTGTAGCTTAGCATTTCCTCCAATTTATTTGTGTTAAATTTATTATTTATTAGATGATGTAGGTACTTTGTTTACTGCAATTTTGTTATCATAATAAATGCAAAATATGCATATTGCGTCTTTTTATTATATCCCTATTATTATTTTAAGAGAAAAAAAATTTTTGATAGAAAATGATATCTCCATTAACAACTTATTAAAAATAATGGGGCTAGTCATAGATGAACTAAAGTCTACTTTACGCAGCTTTTTTGACAGATTTTCCGTTGAAAAATGCCAAAACTAACGTTAGAGGCAATTTTATTTCGACTATGAATGTGCCCTAATAAGATTCGAAAGGTAAAACAAGTAATTTTTAAGCAAAAAACAAAACAGACTTCAATTCTCATATAAAAATTTAAGATTATCGTTGATTTCTTCATGATGATCGGATTTAAACCAAATTAATATGGGACCACCTGTAAGGTATGTAACACCTTTCCTTTAAAAAAAGAATCATAGAAATCGGTTAACGTAGTCCAAAGGTATGCGGTAACATACATAAACAGAAATATTCCGACGACTTAGTAACCTTCCTCCTTTTTGTGAAGTCGGTTAATAGTGAAAGCCTTTACATGCATGGTATAAATGCTTTGAATGACTTGACTTTTTTTTGCTGTGGCACTTTTTCTGCGACTTTCGAAAAATTTTCAGCCGTAACACTGGTTACATATATGAAATCTATCAAATTCTCGAATTCAGATTCAATGAGATACTTTTCTAAAATTATGTATGTATTAATAGTTTAACCAGAAAATGTCAAACCTGTGCATTCATTTGCATTTGATTAATTTGACTTTGAGGATGAATCTGCTGCACGTTTTGAGACTGAACTTGAGATATTTGTGGTTGCAGAGTTATCTGAGATGGCGTTGAAACATTTGTGGGGGAAGTTTTGGAATTCTTTGGTTTACGTTTGCGCGTTGTTCCTTTTCCACGGGTTCTTCCGGAGGTCACGGCACTAGGTGATTGATCTACTGATGACGGGGTATCCGGTTTCATTTCATCTTTCTAAAACGGTTACGATGTGTTAAAACAAATTAAAATAAAAAATAATAGTTTTCATTACAATGTTGATTTTTTCCGAAACGGGCTCTATGTCTTCAGGTGGCAGAGACAACGATTCATAAAAATAATCAATGGGTTTAACTAAACTATGAGCATGATATTTCAGATTGCGATGTGTTTCTTCATATGCAAGAGATTTCCTTTCTGACTTAACCGCACCAAACCAAACCCATGATAAGGGTGCTGGATTCTTATGGCCTTCCAATATATCCCAAACACTTATACGCTGCTTGTCAGAAATCCTAAGTTGCTTTTTGTCCATATCACAAATTTTGTTTCCTTTCATGTCAACTCCAGCAGGCTCACATGATATTACCTGTAACAAAAACAAAAAGAAACAGTGATAAAATTGTGAACAAGTTATATGAAGAATAGATCTGGTCAAAACACATCGGTATAGAGCATGATGCAATTCCACCATAGGTATAGAGTTCCTTTTTGGCGTTTTTTTAAATAATTACTTTATTTCCATTTGAAAAACAACAACAATAATTTGAAAATTTTTATTGTTTTTGCTAAAAGTTAACCAGAAATTGTTGAATTTTACTCGCATCCTCTCCTTTTCAATAGACACTGAGTTTTTCACTGTTGTTGCGGCACTGCTAAGCCCTGGCTAGTCTATAAATCGTTGCCGTAAATATTAACAATCGGTGCTAATACGTGCTGTTTCGACGGAGTTGGACCACAGGGAGAGGGATGTTACCTAAGAGGGTTTAAGTGAGCACATGAAGAGGTGGTTGGTGTCGAGGGGGAAGCGGGACATATGTTTGGTATGTCGGGGTCGAGTCTGGATATATGTATTTGAACAAAGTTAGCCTTAAAAGATTTATTTAGGCGAAAGAGTGCCGAAACTACTATTATTTTCATTGTCACTCGAAAAAATTATTATTTGTTTATTTATTCAATCAGTAGTAATCTAGATTAACAAAGTTACTTACATACTACTTAGAAATAGAAGGAGTTATAGATTAAAACTCATTGCATTTAACATTGATTTGAAATCAGACTTAGATATAGAAAGATCAATGGCTAGAGAACTTGAGAGAATATTGAACTCAGTCAGAGCTCGAAAAGTTGGAGCATTAGAAGCGTAAAGAGTTCGGGCACATTCTGTATAAAAAATATCACTATTTCGGAGAGTCCGGTTAGGGATATGGAAACAAATGCGCTCGAGGAGATATGGTGAATCAATTACACCCTTAATAATATCGAAGACAAAGGTGAGCGAAAGGATAGTTCTTCTGCTTTGAAGAGATTTCAAGTCAATTAGCGCACACCTGGCTTTATATGAGGGAATAGGGTCGGCGAAATTCAACGACCGCAGAGCAAAGCGTAAAAACGTTTTTTGAACCCGCTCGAGTGTATTAATATGGCATCCATGATAGGGTCTCCAGATAAAAGAAGCGTATTCCAACTTAGAACGTACCAGCGACATGAATAATAACTTAAGAGTATAGGGATCTGTGAAGTCTGAACTAAATCGACGAATAAAAGCAAGCACTGAATATGACTTAGCAATGGTGTAATTAAGATGACTATTAAATAAAAATTTCGAGTCAAAAACTACACCTAAGTCAGTTATCTCATTAAGAGCAGATAGCCGGGTACCATCAATGCAATAAGAANGGCCATTGGATCGACACCAGGCTGAGACATTGTCAAGGTCTGATTGAATCTTAATGGAGTCTGAAGAATTTGAAATGGTCGAAAAAATCTTCAAATCATCAGCGTATAAAAGGAAATTAGAGTTAACAAAACAACTCGATATGTCATTAATAAATACGACAAATAGCAGGGGGCCCAAGATGCTGCCTTGTGGAACCCCAGATGACGCTATGAAAGAGTTGGAGTGCATATTGTCGACAACGACTACACAGTTTCGATTCTGAAGATAGGATTTTATCCAAGTTAAAAATAGTGAACGAAAACCCAAACTAGCTAATTTAGAAATCAAAATTGAATGGCTGACTTTGTCGAAGGCTTTTGAAAGATCTGTATATACAGCGTCGACTTGAAGGCGGTCATTGAAAGCCGTCATACAAAATTCAGAGAAAATTGCTGGATTTGTCACAGTAGACCTACCGGACATGAAACCATGCTGATTATTGGAAATTAAGCGTTTAACTGTAAAATACAACTTCTGCTTAACAATACATATATTCAAATAACTTTGAAATAGTCGACAACTTAGCGATGGGCCTGTAGTTGGAATCACTGCTTTTGTCACCACTTTTAAATATAGGGCTAATGAAGGTATCTTTCCAGGCATCGATGAACTCGCAACACCCAAGTGATTTATTGAATAGTAACAGAAGTGGGTTAGCAAAGCCCAAAAAATTCTTAAGAATATACGATATAACCTTGTTCACATACGGGTTGTTTGTAACAGCCAAAGTTTGAGAAAAATAATTTATTATTTCCGATACATATATTTAATTTTTAAATATGTATGTTAAAACGGTTTTTCTTATCCAAAAGTATTTAAGTGTAAAAAATTTCATATCGGGGGAAATGTACTAAGCAGAAAATAAATTGCTAAATGAACCACCTGTGGCAACTGTGGAAGTGATCAGCTGTTTCGAAGGTTGCAAGTTTTTTTTCAAATTTTGCGTTCTCGTACTTCTACGGATATTTTGTCTGTTTGAGAGCCAATGCTGCTTAATTTTCAAAATGTTTTCTGCTGGATAATTTTGTCTGGAGAAGACGTGTACACGGTTATGACTTTTATAATAAAAGTTTCGAAAAAAAAGTTATTTTGTTACTTATTACACTGAGGGAAATAACGCATAGTAAAATAAATAATCTATATTAAGTACTACACAATTTAAATAACCACGTATTAAAAAATAGTTTTCTAATGGAAGTAGTTAATACGTGCATATTTGAATTTGTCAAATAAAAACGTATTTTAATCAAATAAAAACGTTTTTAAATCAAATGAAAACGTATTCAAAAGTAGTTTATAAAGAGCAATGGGCTGTTCACACTGTTATCATCATGCTCAGAGTAAGAGTAGAGAGAGAGAGAGAGAGAGGAGAGAGAGAGAGAGGAGAGAGAGAGAGAATTGTGTTAACACATACATGGTCGAAACAATTATTGCCGCACCACATTTTTACAAGTTTTAACATATTTAACAGCTGATCACTGGGGGATGGTGCGCAGAAGTGGAAAACTTTTGACTGCCATTCACCTGGGAGTGGCCAGAAGCTATTCTTGTGCGTACGGTTCAAATCGGAGCTCACAACGTCCGGATATTTATGTCCACGTATCCTCTGGGTAGCAACCAAACACCCGTTTGGGAGCGAGCTAAAGTGAGAAGGCGTAAAACTTCGCGTGCGCTGGGTTTGGGTCTCGCTTTTTCTGATGACAACAACGGCAAACGTACAAAGGACTATGATTTAAGGGTATGCACCGGGAATATTCGGAAGCTTAATGGGGAAGGTGCCGCTGCCCGGCTGGTTGATGTCCTCGAGAAGACAAAGGCTGACATCACCGCCATCCAAGAAATGCGATGAACGGGGCAAGGAAAAGTAATGGTGACGACGTCTACTACAGTTGTCACGTAAAGGAGCGCAAATTCGGTGTTGGATTCGTGGTAGGAGAGAGACTCCTTCGCCGAGTACTGGCGTTCACCCCGGTGGACGAACGTCTAGCCACAATCCGCATCAAAGCTAGATTCTTAAACATCTCGCTCATCTGCGCCCATGCCCCGACGGAAGAGCAGGATGAGGCGTCCAAGGATCTATTCTATGAGCGCTTGGAACGTACATATAAGCC